TACGGTGGTGTGTGCGCCGGGGGTGGGTTTTAGAATTTAAAAAAAAAAAAAAAAAAAAAAAAAAAAAAAAAGAGTGCAGCGTCCCTTCTGTTCTGCTACAGCACGTTATTTAAAACAATGCAGCCACTACAGTATACTTAAAACCTATATTGTCAATCTGGGGCTTGACTGCAGAGATGGTGCCAGGCATGGCTCAGCTCAGAGGATTGTTGACTGAAAGAATAGATAATGCCTCTTTGTTCCCACTACTTGGGCAGTGCAGCTGTGGGGACTGCACCAAGTTATTTAACATCTCCATCCCTTCCCCATAAGTGGCAGACATGTTTTAGTCTAGAGACTGTCCTTCCTATATGACCCAAAGGCCTAACCAAGTGTGGGACCACCCCTCATATGGACTCAGGGAACTCTGGCCATTCACACATAAAGGTGCTTGTAGGTTTTTTTTCAGGCTATGAAACCAGAAGGCAACCTGGGTTTGAGTCCCAGCTCTTGCTGCTAGCTGAGGAGCGGGGGTTCCTGGGCAAGTTTTTTTTTCTTTTTGTGGGGGGCCTTGGTTTTCTGGTCTGTGGTATGAGGTGACACAGGTAAAGCACTTGGAACTGTGCTAAGCACATAATAAGTACTCAATAATGATACATTGTTGGGCCCAGGATTTAGCTCAGTGGTGCCACTGCCTTGTCTCACAAGCTGCAAGGACCAGAGTTCAAACCCTGACAACAACAACAACAAAAAACAAAAAAAGATGATCCATTGTTACTTGCAGCAGGAAGTTTAGGGAGAGATTTCAGGCAGATTCAGGTCACCTGAATGATACATTCCCCTTCTTACAATTTGTAGTTTTGAAGGGCTCCAGAACATCCACTCCCAGTTTCAGATCCCCCACCTGCTCTCAGTCTGACGCATCCAAGCCAGGGCTTTTGCATGAGTTACATGCCAGCTCCATCCCTAAAGTCTGGGTTCAAATTTGCAATGCTCTTGCCTCAGTCTCTCAAGTGCTGGAATTACTGGTGTGTGCTACTGCAACAGCTCAGGTTTCACTCAGCTTTTGGGTCAGGGAGAACCAACTGTAAGGGATTACAAACTGGCAGCCACGTGGAGCCTGTGGACTTAAAGTTCACATTACGACTGCACATTTGAAAATATCTGTATGTCCAGCTTTTCTGGGAAGATGCAGCTAGGCTGGGATCTCATTTTTATGTGGAGGAACTTGGTTCCCATGTTATGGAACAGCATCTGGGTGAGGCACCCCAGAGGCCAATCAAGATACACCACGCTTCTGTGCTGCTGCCAGCTAGGATAAGAGCAAAGAGGCATCAGGAGGGAGGGTCTCCAGGCAGCTGCTCACCTGCCCTGCAGTCGTCACCCTCTGTGCCCTTGACCTCAGCAACCCAGGGACGCTCCTGCTGGAGGACCCAAGGTGGGTGGAGATTGTTCAATCCTGCCCATCTGGACTTCTTCAGCATCAGTCCTTGCCCTCCCTGTCTTCTCCCACATTAATCCTGAAACCCTAGATAGGACTGCAGACTTTTCTCCCACCAACCTGGGAAGAAAGCAGCCTACTCACCTGCATCCCTCCTCAGTCATGAGATCATGGCCAGCCTCATCAGCCTGCCAGGTAGGCGGCAGTCCCCACGTCCCCCAAATGCCAGGAGGTCCCTTGAGCATAGTGTACCACATGAAACACTTAATGCTCAATACATTCTGATCCCCCCTCCCCGTTCCCCAAACGGGCTTGTACCCAAGACATTCTCAATGAGCTACAACCCCCGCCCCCGCCCCCCCCCGTGCCCACCTTTCAATTTTGAGACAGGGCTTAAGTCCCTAAGTTGCCCAGACTATATTTGAATTTTTCGATCCTCCTGCCTCAGCCTCCCGGGGTGCTGGGATCACAGGCGTGCAACACCACACCCGACTCCAGTAATACATTTTTAGAGACCTGAACTGCCAGTCCGTTCACAATTCTTCATAGTTTCCCGTGCGCTGCAGAATAAAGTCTCTTTGCAAATGCGAACGTGCTCCTCGGTCCAGGGCAAATCCAGCCGCTTGCCCGTTAGGTGCCTGCTCCTCTCCGCCAGCTCCCGGTTCCCCACCTGGAATGTCGTCCCCGCCTGTGCCGCCGGGGCTTCCGGTCCGCTGCAGCCGAGGCCGGGCGCCTGTCCTCCCGAGGCCCGAGCTCACACAGCGCTCTGACAGTGCGAAGCTTCCCTTCCGAGGGCTGCCGAGCGTCGGAGGCGGCTCCAGGGGGAGCTGCGGAGCGGAGGGGACCCCAGGCGTCAGAGCTTTCCGGAACCCCCAGCACCGGCCCGGCCAGCCCCCCAGGAGCCGGGGCTGAATCTGCAGAGTGAGGCCGGCTGTCACCCGAGGCCACCGCAAGAGAAGGCAAGACGCGTCCCCAGTTCTCGGACAAAGCGCCGCAGAGGCTCGTTAACCGAGCCCCGTACCCTGGAAAAACGGGCCCGCGGGAGGCCGTGACCCGGACTGGGCCTGCGGTGACGGAGCGCGCTCAGGTCGGGACTTTAGCCTCCCGTCTGGG